TTAATAATTTTATTCAACCATATGCAAATTTTCACCCATTTGATGAAGATAAATCAAAGCACCTTTTGGTGCTGCATCTCTGAAGTAACTATTTCAACTATCATTATGTGCATTGTCATGGAAAAACATCACACCTTTTCCAATTTTTCTTCTTTATCATCCTTCAAATCTTTCAATAAATATTCCTTATGAAGTTTCTTTCTCTGCTTTTCTAATCTAGAAGAAATAGATAAATTCATTTACTACATTCCATCTTAGTGCAAATGGTATACAGTGCATGCCTCTTTTACTTTATTGACATAAAAAAAAGTTATTCCACATCCCTGATATCTTTTTGGTGTTTGGTGAGAAGCAAATATTTCAGTACAGGAGATGGCGTTCCACATGAAACAAAAAAACAAACACCGTCTTTCATTTTCATCATATCCATCTCTATTAACAATAGGAGAAAAGCTTACTACTTTGCCTTTGTTCCACTCTTAAGAAAGCAGTGGCAAATATTTCACAGTAGATGGCATTCCACTTGAAAAGTTTATTGTCTTTATCTTTACTGTTTTCTTCCCTATTGACAATGGGAGAAAAGCCTTCTGCTTTGCCTTTGTTCCATTGTCTGTAACAGAAACTTGATATGCATATATTAATTATGACCCAGTTGTGGCCCTCTATGCATAATATGTGTGAGGGTACATCTGTTTATTCTAGGAAGAAAAACAACTTCAACACAGTTGAATTGGACACTTAGTTTCCATACTTTGCCTCCTCAATTGCTTCCAGTCTGAGTTTTTCCTGGAATTTATGCCTTTCATCTATTGTCTTTTGGAATCTAGATAGAACTGGTGCTGACTGTAAAAATATAATATTGCATAAGTGGTCATCAGTGATGAAAGTCCTCTGTAAATGATTGGCAGAAAATACTGGGTAGACTTGACATTAGCATACAATGTAGAAAAAAGTATAAAAGTATGCGCAAGTGACTTACTACAAATGATAAGTTGCAAGCAAGTGGTTCCTGTCTGTTAATCTCTGAGTTATCCTGTGGAACATTAGCCTCTGAATTCCTGAGAGGCGCCCTTGCTTTATCAGGGTTCTGGTTTATCCTATAGTGTTAACAACAAGCTAGTAAAAAAGATATTGTGTTTTTGTTTTCAGAATGTCTGTTATACTGTTCCTTAATTTTAGCTCTTGTTTAAGTGAAAACTTTCGTGCCAAATTATTAGCACCTACCAATCTATAGCAAGCTGAATTCCACTGTTTTTTGTAACAATAAGAGCTCTTTCTGCTACACCAACATCATAACCTGCAAGTACAAGCCATGAGACTTAATGAAAATATTATTCGTGGACATTATTGTTGTTTTTCATTGGTAAATACAGAACGGGTAACTTCAGTTAACTGCAGTTCAGTTAACTTGAACTACCTATTGACTCAAACTTAACTTTGCCTTGGCTCAAATTTAGCATGTAGCTAAAACTTTACCTAAAAAGGTCAGTTTACAAATGTCAAAGTGTCAGAGCATAGCTGATTGATCACAATTGACATAAACATGATAACATTTCAGAAAAAGTTCAATGAACCTCCCAAACTAAACATTCTTGTAAAAACAAAATAATTGGATAAAAATGACTGTTGATCGTACAAAAATAGTAAACACATGATTCCTTATTAATTATTACCAAAATACTTGAATTTCAACACCAACCCAGTAAGCAGAAACCCAGCTTGAACCAATTTCCATTTCCCTTGGGAGTTTAAGTCAGCAGGGTTCTACTGTATTAATTCAAAAAAGTACACTGTAAGAGCACCTTGAAAAGCTATTGTATAATTACCCATTTCCTTCATGTAGGACAGCAAGGTGAGATCTGCCTTGACATCTTGATCAAACAAGCTTGAGTCTGATAAATTGAAAGGCATTAGAAATCAAAATATATTTATTATCACACACATGTTGACAGTTGGAACCACAGAGCTTTTTTGTATTGATGCATGTCATTATTCTATGTAATTTCATGACCTCATAAGTATAGGAACCAAACAGATTATTCCTGGTGTAACTCATATTCAGTGCCTTTTACTCACCTTTCTGTTTATTAAGCTTGAGCACACCGCTGGGTTGAGTGGCAGCAGGGGAGTTACCAGTAACTGAGAGTGTTTGACTTGATGGTAAAATACCAAGAGCTTCATCAATCAACAGTTTGGCTCCATCAAGTTTTATAGAAGAGGGTAGAAACAGAAAATCCCCTTCCTAAAGAGACATTATGGCATAGATACAAAAAGAAATTCATTAACCACTAAAAAAATCTTATTTTGGAAGCTAGTTGCAAAACAGAGGGGCTTATCAACACCTGAGTTTCAAAAAGGTTTTTCACACTTCAAATGATTACCTGTGGTGGAATGTGCCACTACCACAACCAAAGGGGCAAGGCAAATCTATATAAAATGAAATCTCAACAGATGGCAATAAGGGCTATTTGTTATGCCATGTAAGGCTCTTATTGGAACTCCTCCATCAATTGCTTGATATGACAATTTATTGTTTTTTTAGAGGGCACGGTAACGAATCTTGCAATCTGATTGGTTCTTTACCCGGTCAGTATTTTCCTATCTCTGCCCACGGGCCACGGTAACGCTTTCGTGAATCACCGGGTGCATCCCAACTTGCATTGTCAGTTTTCATATATATACCTCGTTTTCCGGCTGGGCAGTATTTTTAAGCAAACACGTCGGTCACTACCTCAAGCCGATAAATAACTTTTGAATCCTCTCTTTTCTCTCTATCAAATCACTTTGGTTGACAGAAAAATATTGGTTTCAGAATGAATTTGTATAAACAATATTGGTTGACAAGCGGCCTAAAAACCGTCTGCAATTAATTTTAATCGTTCACAAAAAGTACCCAGAAAGTTGAAACGTGAGGTATTTGGTTACAGTTAAACTGAACGATGGAACTTTCATTCATTTAATATCTGAATTTTCTCGAGCAATTTGTTCATAGTGAAATAGCGAGCGAAGTTTTAATTTAAGTTCTACAACAAATATACGCTCCCGGTGAGTCTTTCCAATTCCGTTCAACTTGGACATTTGTACCGTAAATTGCACAACAGAAATTGAAGGAATTTTTTTGAGAAAAGGCCGCATTAAATTCCCTTGTGTCTCGTTGGAGTGTGCTGTTCAAATTTAGTTTTTGTAAAGGAAAGACCAGAGTTAAACATGCCATTACAGCAAACAAACGAGCAAACTCTCACAACTTCAAAATAAAAAAATTGAATTTACTCACAGTTACTTTCCTCGCCGTTTACTTAATGAACAGAGGTAAATCTTCGTACATGAATGAATGGTCGATGAGAGTGAATAATACTTTCCGTTAGATCATTGACTGATTTTGAAGAAAATATTGTCGTGACAGTCCTTGCCAAACTAGTTCTGTTGGTTTTCAAATGTTCCTACGCTTTTTTTTTTCTTGCGCTCTCTCTAATTGACAGGTGTCAGATTGTGACAGATACTTGTAAAAATAATGTTTCAAAGTTTGTTTGGAAGCCTTTTAAATCACCTTTATCGTTACGGAAATGAAAATGTTTCGCTGAGGCATCTCTCTTAAATTTGCATCACCTCTATTTCAACTACCATTTACTCACTCAAAAATTGTTCAGTTTATGGAAGATCTTGCCATATTTACGGCCATAAATCATTCGCGTTCTTTCGGAAAGAATTTCGTCAAGTTTAAAAACAATAAATATGTTATTTACCGGCTAAGGGTCGGTCCGTATGGTGAAAAACTGTGACCTTGGTCTTGAAAATGCTGCCCTCGGCCTACGGCCTCGGGCAGTATTTTCAAGACCTCGGTAACAGTTTTTCACCATACGGACCTCCCAGCCGGCAAATAACATATATACATTTTATGTCTGATGGCTACACCAAAAGCTAATGAAATTAAAGTAATCTCATCAAATTAAATTCAAATTAGGCCATGTTTCATAGTTTTGTAACCTTTGCTTTATAGGAGAAGTAGGCTTTTCAAACAATGAAGTCTTTATCTGCCCAAATGAAAACTGTTTATGAGATTATGAAAATGATCCTGTTTTGAGATTCCAAAGAGTTTCCTAAACTTTTGAAGATTGTCTATTAGTGCAACAAAAATTATTCTTGATATGCTGCCACTTTAAACTTATCAAGCTACCTGACTGCTTGTCTTTGGGGTACATGTATATGTAACAGAGTCTTAGGGTTAGGGTTAGAAAAGTGAAGTAATCATTTTCATTATTATACATGGAAAATTTCTCCAGATAAATTAGAGGGAAGACACAAGTAAGCATTTGTTATTCCAGGTGCAAAGCTAGGTAGGGTTCACTGTGTGCATTTTTAAATGCACACAGTACATTGTACATACATTGTAAATCTCAAAGTAAACATACAGTGTGTTTATTACAAAAAGTTAGTGTATATAAACCTTATAATTTAAAACTAACTGAACCTGTTCAAACCCTGCAAACAGTAAAAACGTCCTGGCTTGTTCCACTTGCCAGATGGTGGCATTGAACTTGGGGTTACCTGATATTTGACAACAAAACATCATCACATGTGCTACAATAAACACGCAAGTGAAACTGACGTAAAACTAAGCATAACAAGTCAAATATCAATGGAATTCGGTTCATAATCGATGCTTACTAACTTATTCTAATTTTCCTGTATTTCTGATTGCTTGGGTCTTTCACTATGTTTCTCACATAAACTTGCATCAAAGAGAGCGTCTTTTTCACCAAATCTGGTTCGAACACCGATTTCAAGGCCTCCTTCAAATTAGATAAAATAAAAAATTCAACATACGTAAGGGTTGGTAATTACTGAAACATTCAATCAATTCCCATAAATACAAGAAATTATTTCTCAATTGACGAAATCTCCTGTTGGTCTTACCAGAGAAGCCTCCATAACTGAGCCCGCATTACAATGTACATAAAAAATAAAGACTTTGATATCCTGTTTAGGGCATGCGTATCAGCTTTCGTCACTCGAATCTTTAAAAATTTTGCATCTGAACCACAGAGATTTTCGTCCGAGGCAAAAGAAGCTTTTTGTCCATATAAAAATGGTATGAATATCGTGTATTCTTGTGCCAGTATTTCTATATATCTGGCACAAGTTCATCCAGCCGCTGGTCGACAGATGGTATGGAAAACCGAAACTCGAAAGTGGTAAAACTGATGAGAAACTGACTTTAGACCAAAAGGTAAGCAGGAATACATTTCGATCCAATTAAGCCTGTATTGGTCTTAAAAAAAACGACAGGCTTTGTTATTGTCAAGGTGAAGGCTTTTAAATTGTTTACTCAACCCGTGAACGGCTAAACTTCAGAATACCCCGCAACTTTGGTCCGCCTCACTTACATGTGTCGGGAGGCTTTGAAGATCGAGGCATAACACAATAGACGCTATTCTTATTCAATGACATATAAATGAGTTGCGGGGTATTCTGAAGTTGCTCCCCGTGAACTATGATCTATCTCCCATTTTATTGATAGCTTTTATTAAGATTACCTGTACTCATCTTAACTTATCAAGTAAACCTACTCGAATAGCTTTTCTCACGAGACATGTCACATATGATCGTTCACGCGGTTGATCTCTATCATTTATACTGGACTTCTTAATTACTATGGATGCTTTATGTTCAATTGTTTTCGTCAAATTACGCGAATCATTTGGTATTAGACAAGGCTAATTGCAAATTATCCTGATTTTGCACATAGGATGTCATTTTTCCTCTCTGATTCCGTAAGGCCTAACTCAAAAACGCCTTAAGGTCAAGGGAAAATAATCAATGCTATCCGATGTAACACAGATATTGCTCCCTGTAGTATTTTTTGTTATACCTCACATAGTTTTTAATTCCCTGAGGAATATTCCCACTTATTCATATTCTCTTGAAATTTGATGGACTATTCTTCAATTAATTTCTTTAAATTTCTCATCCCAGAGTACAGGAATCAGTATAAATCCCATGTTCTCCCCAACATTACCCCCTGGTTTATCCAGCAATGAACCCCACAAGAAGCTGGAGAATTTCTTCTATGAGTGGCATTATATGAAAAAGACTGTGTGGTGTTTTTCTACTATAAATAGCAACAATGATATTTTATGGAACATGACACTGACACATGTATAAGACCAATTTGAATTGGGGGTTTCAAAAAAGTACCAGTAGAGAAAAGGGAAGGTAGTAAAGTTAAATGTTACATTTCTTGTTTGAAAGAGTGCAATGACTCTCCTGTGTCATGGTATTAGTATCCAGTTCCCATGCACTGATAGGAACCTTGTTTTGAATATTTGTCTTGGAAAAAAAGTTCTTTTTAAGTATTGGGAAATGATATTCCATAGGTGAGTTGTCTTTTGCATGATGGCTTTAAAGAAGCAAGACAACATTAAATGTGCCTTTCTCAAGGAGGTTCACCAAGCAATTTGTTGTAGAAAAAACATTTACCAAAAGCCACCTTAATGTCAGTAGGATAATTATACTGTAGGTGGTTGCTTAGTCTTCAAATGTTAAATACACTGTCACCTTTGTTTTGATTTGAAAGACATTTCATTTTATGCAGGGCTTGCTTCCCAATGGTGATCTAAAAGTTGATGATTTACCTGCTAAGGAAGTGACTGCTGATGGCCATGTAAAGTCTGACTAGAGTCTTACACTATCCAGTTGCACCTAAATTGTACACAAACTTGTTGCCTGACCACATGGGACAACTATGTGAAGCAAGGATCATGAAGACTTTTGATAAAACCCTATGTTGTGGGACAGTCATTTGTTGGAGTAAAAAAACCTTGTTTTACAAAGAAAAAAATTTACATGAAAATTTTTTCCTTACACACCAATGCAGTGTACACCATCCTCTTTATTTGGTTAAAATCTTTTATTTTTCAAAGTATGACAATTGTAAACTGTAAATCAAGAGAAAATATGACCTGCACACAACTAGTCATCATTTATGTGTAGCTTCAATTTAATAAAAATTTTTGCGTCATACATTAGTTTGCTTTGTACTCTTTTTATGTACTCTGCACCACTTAAATAGCCTGAGCACAAAGTGAGTTGTTATTAAGAAAAGTATTTACTAGGTATGATAAGCAATGTTATAGTGGAAATCCAGTCTGCAAAATGAAAATAAAAAAAAAAACTTTTTGTCTCATTGGCATTTTCTGTTTACTTTTTGGAGTTAATCACAAAGGATACTGTACTCAGTGATATGCAGATATATTCATATATTGGTAACCAGTTTTCAGCTCTGTCCTGTTTGTAGTAAGGAAACAATTGAAGACAGTTCTGTTTGGGTTTAGTGTAATTAAAAAAATCTGCTTCAGTTTAAAGGCTTTAATCAGCTCTGGTTACCAGTGGTAGAGAGAAGATACTATAAAAAAATTTGTGCCTTCACACTGTCAATTGTACCATAAAACAGAACCAGTCTCTGAATTATGTAGGCAGGACATTGACTTTTATTGTGAAGCAGATACAATTACTATGCTTTTGCTCTATGGCATGAATCTCTTCACTGCCAAGTTTTTTGGCTGAGGATACACAAACCTTTTAGAGAGTTTTGTGTAAAGTATCTCCATAGAGCTTTAGAGCTGTGTAATAAAACTATCTCAGACTAGACCCTTTTGTACTTATGATAAATATTTTCCTGAACTTCTTTTTCCTGTAGTGATATGCGCCCAGGAGCAAATCTGTCTTTTCCACGTAGCTTTGTGACTACCTGATGCGTTGGACTGTATCCAGTGATTGGTCTAAACGCGCAGCAGTATTGTAGACTATGTTATTGGGTATATAATGAACAAAGTTACAATGATTTCAGCGATTATTTCCTTCTTTTTCTCATTTATATCCTATGTAATTTCATTGATCTTCTCCCAAAGTCATTTGGCTGACGTCTCATTCACCAATCACGTGAAATAGGGAAATGTTTGCGCGAAGTTAGTGCCTTTTTGCACAACTGTTACAACACATCCTGCGGTAATGTGAAAACTGGCAGAAGTTGGCTTGTGTAACATACATGCACACAGTTCCGCTGTAAGAGTCTTTACAGTGTGGTTTTCGTCTCGCTTGTGAAGCTGATGTAGGACATGCGAAGTTATTACAGCGCTGATAATGATAAGGCTTGTGCCGTGATTGGCATTCTTTAGATGTTTGACCTTTGTGATCAAGACACATAACATCTCTGACTTGGTTACCTCCACCACATGACCTGGAGCACTGCAAAAATGAACAGGGAAATGAAACAGTTGGCATCATAGTGAGGGAAAATAATTAAACTTCTGCAGGAGCAGGCGTGTAGTGTCCGAGTCAGTCTCCGTTTTCCAAACTTTTTTAAAGGAACAACAAAGGCACTTGTTTCTCTTGGTTGGGTGAATGATATGATAGTTTCTGAGATTTTGCAGAAAATTATGTCTTCCGCCTCTGTAATTCCTGTATCTTTATCCTCAATTCAAACGCAGACAAAACTATTGCAAATTGAAAGACTGTCAATGTCGGGTAAAAAAAAAAGTAATTCCGGTGTACCTTGCCCCATTTTGAAGTGAACCATTCTGGAGTACATGAGTCGTTTCCACATGATTGAAGTGTTGCTGGTTTGGGGTTTAGAAGACAAGCGTGGTCTGGAAACTGTCTATGCATATCTCCAACCATACCAGCACAGAAGACAACGCGTGATTGGGTCCCGGTTCCACATTCAACTGAGCACTATAAGACGTAATGTAACACAGTATCAAAGGTGTGTGTGTTTTGGATGTGTTATCTTTTCTTAAAGGACAACTGAATTAAAATATGGGTAATTAAATAGAAATGTTTCTCTTTTTCAAAGTTCTCTATGGATAAAGGTGACCAGGACCAGAACTTTTATCAGTTTGTAAATGTACTACTGACCAATTTGACCACTGGCACAGATCAGCTAACTTACTTGCATGCCCATTCACTTTCCTTTTTCAAGCTTGAGAGATCTCATCACCGAAGCTTTAGCCCCTCTATGGGTACCCACGGTCTTCGTTTTCTTCGTGATTTTTTTGCAAATCTTCTTTTTTTTAGGAAGATCTTCCTTTTTTTTGTTTTGTTTTGGTTTTTTTTGTTTTGTTTTTATTTTTATTTTTTTATTATTTTCATGATACGAATGAAATCGAGTCCATTGGTTAGTGGGTTCTCATTGACGTCGTTAATGTCATTATTGATTACATTATCAGTGGACTATTTTTGTCGTTTTCAACCTTGTAATGGCATCATGTGGTTTCGCGGCAGCGACTGTAAACCACTGTTTACACCTTTGTCAAAATCGCAGTGAAATGTGGTCAAATGCCAAAATTCAGAACTAACAGATATTTTCTGTAGTGTTTGCGAGTTTTGACAGTTTTATTTCTGAGTGTTCAATTTGATCACGTAAATTTTGGTCAATTTTCAGATCTTCGCTTCAATCTTGAGATCTTCGTTTTTTCCGCGGTGATCTTCACGTCTTCGATTTCTTCGGAAATACCCATAAAGAGGCTCAAGCTTGTGTGTGTCACAGAAGTAACAACCAACTACTCGTGTTTCAAGGAAAACGAATGGCCTACGGTGATTATGTTTTACGTTTTATAAATACACCAATAACAAATTCCCAGCTCCTAGTTTTCATCAGGTTCTCCCGGTTATGTACGATGGATTCCTTTGTGTGGAGAGCCGAAGCCACCCAACGGCCATTTTACCTTGCTCCACTCTGATGTAACCCAGGTTGCCTGACATCTCCCATTGTTACAAGCTCTGCTCGAGCTTGGTTTTTGAGCCTGAGGGCACTGACCGGACAGGAGGGCGTCACCTCCTTTTCTCCCACAGAATACAAGTCGACTTTTCTCTCCTCTACCACAAGGCACTGAGCACTTTAAAAGGGAAAAAGCGGATTGAGTAGGGTAGAAAAAGAAGAACAAATGGAAACAAAGGTCCGATGAAAGTAAGTTAGAGGTCAACAAATGACAGTGATGGGAAAAGTTGTCTTAAGGAACTTTATAAAAAAATATAAAAGTAGGAAGAGAGGAAACTGACAGTACGAAGTATGGACATACGATGGAATGGGAGCCCGGAGCGAACAAAATAAGCAAATCCCCAAGTACAATACTCGGAGGATATACATTTATGACTACCTTCTCGGACAATTTTTAGAGAAATTGAAAGCTTTACAAAGTCAGAATGATAAGAAATGTATTGCAGTTGAACGACAGTTTGAAAGTGTGGAGAAGATTATCAGCCTATGGAACACTAACCAAGTGAGAGCGTATAGGTAAAGGAACCCACCTGTGACCACTTGTGGCTTGTAAACCATTCAGTTTTGCAAGAACCCGCGAAGCACGACTTCGTTATGGCTGGCTTTGAGCGATGTCCACAAAAGCTCTCATTGACAGACGTATTCTTGATGTCTGTGCATGTAACAATCCTCTGTTTGAGTCCTCTTTCACATGTAACAGAACACTGAAGTGTGGAAATAAACGACAATTTAATTACTTCCCTCAGCCGTTATTACTGGGCCGTTTATTATCGCGCTCCGTTTTGCTACCTGAACGCCTAGAACAGGCTATACTTGCATTGTGTATGTCGACGCCAATTTGCATGCGAACTGCGCTTGTGGCAGACTCGTTACATATGGTTTCTATTTGCATTAATGTCTTCGGTTAATCTATTACCTTGCTCCACTCTCCAACAGTCCAGTTTGCTGGAAGAGGGCAAGGCCTCAAATTACATTTCTGGCTCGGGTTGGGCCTCTGCCACTGGGGACAGTAACTTATGGGTAACATCTGGTCCTTCCGCGCACCGTTACTATCTACCAACTGTTTACACAATAGACTTCTGATCTGCAAGCCAGGCCCACATGTCTTGGAGCACAAACCCCATTGACTCGGCTCCCATCTGCATTAAAGAACACTTAGCTAAATCGAACAGCACGTGGACAAAATAACATTTGAATTAATGATACTATATGTCCTCTCTGCATTGCGGAAAATCTGAGATTTGAATGACTGGGAGGTGACTTGAACATTACTTTGCTTAAGTAAAACGTTAGACATCCCTCTACTAGAAAGAAACCCCTATTTCAAAGTGAAATAAAACTAACTTGGCGTACTGTGTGTAGTTGAAATCTTCCAAAAATGTATACACTCTGCCTCATGACTCTATCACGATTGACTTGATTCTCCACCAGCTATATCTTGTTTGCCCAAACGTAGATGCAAAGTTTTATTCAAATAATTCCGTCTTACAGAAACGGCTTACATCTGTGTAAATAAGTTGACACCTGATAACTTGAACTTCCCAAGGAAATAACAAATGGTGCGACTTGTCGCTTCTACGCCATTACTTTCAGACAACTAACTGACAAACGGAATTTCTGTGAGGAGTAAATGCATAGTTTAACTGGGTTACCTTGGAGGGCAAGGTTGCAGGTTACAAATTCTTTGTCTTTGCTGTGGTTTTTGGTTCCTCTGACATGCTGACTGTTCAACAGCTGAGTTATCAGTTAATGAGGAACATTGATACACCGTCTCTTGGAGGCCTGCAAAAAGTGTCAGTGTAAATGCCGATACCTTCAATATTTGTTAAGTTGTCAAGTTGATGGAAAACGGGATTGTCACCTGACTGCAATGAGGACTAAAGAATTTGAAAGTCTACTCTATTATTGAGAATATTTGATATACCAATCCAAATTTCACAGCGCTTCTGATGCAAAACTGAGTAGTTCTCAAACACATCGCTTTTGAAACTTTGTTAACTGGTCTCAGATTATTGTCTCTATTTGGGGCTTCTATAGCACATTTATGTACCTCCAGCACACGAGTGGGTACACTGTGTAAACCCTGTTAGTTTCCAAACGTACAAGTTTCCATTAGTTACTGATTGGGTAGGCTGTACTTGAACACCTCTCTGTCCGAAGCCAGCTGGTTCAGCAGGTTGCTGTGCCTGATTTTTATTAAGATAATCTTTGGGAAGAAAGTACGAGTACATGATCCTTGGCTCGTCGTCTTGATAAAGCAGCTGGCGAAAAAAGCATAAAAATAAAATTTTTTACACTCACTTGATGACATTTGAAAAAAGACAAGTTCAGGTGAACTAACTTAAAGTCAGCATACGAACTCTGCTCCTGGTATCAAAAACCTCTTACGATTATCACAAAGTAATATCTGGTCT